TGTGTTACACACATATATATATATATATATATATGTATGTATGTATACTCGTGGAATATAGCAGTTCTGATAGAGATGAAGGAGTTAAATCAGTATTTATTATTATTTAATCAGGGTTTCATTTCTTTTATTCTCACATTTGGGTTCCTCAAATTTAAAGATTTAAATACTCTTTGAATTTAAAAAAAAAAAATTGTTTTTGAGACAGGGTCTTCCTGTAATCCTAGCTGGCCTGGAACTCACTATGACCAGGCTGGCCTCTCTTACAGAGCTCCTTCATCTCCCCCCCAAGTGCTGGGATTAAAGGTGTGTGCCACCATACCCATCAAAAATATATTCTTTTTAATTCTTCATTTTTGTCATGCTGTTTAGGAATTTTGACTGCCCAGTAACAGTTTTCACTATTAATACTAAATATTTGAAAAGTACAACATTTTTACTGTCGTTTAACCTGTCCTTTTAGGGGTGTAGCTCAAACAGCTTATTTTGCATAATTATTAATTTATTGAAATAACAGCTAACTGGTTCCAGTCATTGTTTGAGCTTCAGAGTTTATACGTGTGTTGGACTTATTTTCTCTATAGCTTTATGATAAGACCTGTGTACTTGTGATGCTGGTCTCTTCTCAGACCCTAACAGATACAAGTGAATGCAAAGCTATGTAGTGTTGGGAAACTCCAGCAGAGGCGGAATGTTTTTCTCTTCCTACATTTTCATACTTTTGGAGACTTTTGCATTTGATTGTCTCCTCAATTTTTTTTTAAACTACATTTATTTATTTTTTTGTTATACATATACCAATATTCTTGTTTGTTCTGATTTTTAGCACTCTTACTAAGATTTAGAAAAGCTTTTTGAATTTATTTAGATGCATAGTAGACAGCACTATCAAATGTGAAAATCAACTCTATTGTTTCTGTCACTGCCGTTACATTTAAGTGAATAACATGACATTTCTTCCCAGGCTAGCTCATCAGCAGTTACAAACACTGATTTTTAAAATAATGCATTAAAGTCTGAGTGAGATTTTAAGTGTACATTTATTGTTACCTATGAGATTTTAGAGCCCTTTCTAAATGGTGACTTGATCTTAGTACTCAGTTTACTCTTTGTATTGACCTGAGGTCTGCATTTTCAGTCTTGACATTTTTGTCCTCACAAGTCTAATACGTTCTGCAGCTTCTTAAGATTTTAAAGAAAGCTTCGTGCATTATATAGGATAGGACCTCATAATTATTGAGATCTGAGGAGTAGGTTTAGTTGGGTGTTTGGAGATGGGGATAGAATCAGGGAGTGAGGCAGTGTCAGTTAAGTGTGCCACCAGAGGGTTAAAGGGTTAGATACATGAGAAAAGGCAATATCCAATTCCTGTGTCTTAACTGTAGACATGGATCTTTACTTTATGATAGATCCAAACTACTGTATTTGCTGTCTGCTTTGTTTTTAAAATACCAGTGGCTGCCTTTTTTTTTTTTTTTTTTTTTCCCACCCTGGGAATTGAACCCAAGACTTTGCATGTGGGGCACATACTCTACTAGTGGGTTACATCCTTGGCCCCTGCCTTTTTCATCTTCTTTTTTAATGGATTATTGTTATTTTTGCTGTGCTGGAAATCGATCTCAGGGCGTTGCACAAACAGATGATCTACTGTTGAACTACATGTGCCCTAGCCCCTGAGGTAATATGTTTTTTGGAATGCTTTCAGCAACAAAAACTATGTTATAGATTTGGATGACTGTAGTTTGGTAGGGAAAAGCCTCCTCTTCTGATCCTGTAGAAATCTTGGGGATGTGGTTGTGTTATCACTCATGAGTACAGTTGCTAGAGAATCAAGTACTCTAGCTGAATGTGTTCCTATCATAAATTCTTACAACTCTCAACTCCTATGGAAAGAATGATTTTAGATATCTGTGTATTATAATTATTTGTAAGTGATATTTGCAATATTTTTTATTATACAACAATTTAATGCATAATCTTCTTAAAAAACATGTTTTTACTCAATTTGTGTTATTCATTTCTTTGCAGTGTTTGAACGTCACTCAGTTGTTAAAACACTATGGTCTTGGTGCCAATTCTCCCATCTCACCTGATCTGTTCACGTACCTTTGCCCTGCCTTACTGTATCAGATCGACAGCAGACTTTGTATTGAGCATTTTGACAAACTTTTAGTTGAAGATTTAAATAAAGATAAAACTCTGATTCCTGAAGATAAGGCAAATATAGGGGCATCAGGTAAGAAAGAGATTGAAATTTTCTTCCTTAAAATAGTACTTGTACTCTTTTAACTGTAGTTGAATTTAAAGGGAATACCAAATTGTCTTCATTTAATGTCAGGTTTTAATGTTTTATTCAGGTTTAGATTATGTACATAAAAATACTGGGGGAAGAAAAGAGACATAATACATTTTTTAAAAACTCTTCTGGTCTTAAAAAGGAATGCTTTGTTATGGGCAAAGGGAACTAGATTGAAAGGGAATTTTTTGAGGAGCAAATGTAAATAATGTAAAAAGTTATTTGGAGTACAGTTACTTAATCTTCATCAGGGTTAGGTCTTCATGCAAAGCAAATGCTGTTAAAATTTTAAAGAGGTGGAACAGGAACTCATGAGGGTTAACTACAGAAATGTCTCAGGTCCACATGAGCTTCACCCTGGTCACTCCTACAGTTTCAGCTAGTAGGAAACCAAAACCACTTCCAGACTTCTCCTAGGCTGGTGTTGGTTTTGTTTTTTCTTCCTGTCTCCATACTATTCAGTTGGCTGGGTAGCTCCACTGTGCTATTCTTAGTACTTCCCTCTTAATATCTCAAAACTCCAAAATGCATGAAAATTTATAACCCCATAGGATCCTAAATCCATTATAGATCATTCTTTTGATAGAATCTGGAATTTTTTTTTCCTCTTTTCTTTCCCTTTTTTTTCCTTTTGTATAATCAGGAGTCTGACTGAGATATCTTCATCTTCTACCTTCATCCACTCTTACCACAACCTTAGTTTAATGTTCATCTTGGGGTTTGCGGGGGGCGGTTGAGATAGTTCCATTACCTTCCTGCCTGTCTTCTTACCCCATTGCAAGACATTTTAGCATTTAAACTAGATTTCTCATTCTAAAATGTGAATGAGATCCTCTGGCACAGAAGGATTTTTTTTTTTAAATAGTAATGGCTCACACTTAATTTTATTAACTATGGACACATATTGCAGACTCTATTCTAATTCAGTCCATTTACTCCTCACAGCAGTCTTAACCAGTGGCCTTAATATTATTCTTCCCATTTAGCATTCCCAACATCTCAGAACTAGTTAAGATTCAACCTGTAAAATTTAACTATTTTGGAATTTATGTGCTTAATGTTTTATGTGCTTTTTTTCACTGAATTTCAGCTGTAATCCTAAAAGAATAATTCTGTGATTCTTTGTTTTTAAACTTTTGTGTGTGTGATTTCTTTTTCTTTTTAGATATAGGAAATCCAAGGTGTAGAGAAGTTAAGTAACTTGCGCACAATCCCCAAGCCTAGTAAGTGACACAGCCCGCAAACATTAAGGTTTGTCTCATTAAAGCTGTGGGTAGCTAATTCCTGTGTCATCACTCTAAATTTAGCTGAATCTGGTATAGCCTCTGTGACTATTGACATATGTCTTTACAGTATTTAATACTTTCTATGATATCTCCAGGACATTTTCTTTTTTCTCATGCAGAACTGTATCATGCTGTATTGTCTCAAGGTTAAAGTCCTCTACTTGCTCCGTAGGTTTTTCATACTTCTCCTTCATTTCTACCTTTGCATTTTTATCCCATGCATTACTCTTCTCGGTTTATAAGTTTAGCAAAGCACTGGTTCGGCTGTGTTTTTCTCTTGTTCTCTGCCTGACTTCTGGACTTCTTCACAGAGTCAGCTTAGGCATTTAACCCTCTGTGTCAACTTACTAATCATCTGCAGCTTAATGACATTCCCTTGTTGACATGCATCTGTATGTCTCACTGATGGTAGAGGTTTAAGGGAATATTAATACTTAGATTATTGGGGTTTTGTTAGGCTTCAGTTGCTTAAAGGTAGCGACTAGAGCTCTCATCTCTGTATCTACTAAAAGGAACTTGGCATGGAAAATAAGCATTCATGTTGATTGAATGAATACATTGTTTAATATTAGACTGTGAGCTTTCAGTTATATACCAGAAAAATATTGAAAATATATCTTTGAAGCTCATTAAATATACCAGTTAACCTAGTAAAATGTTCTAACAACTGGAATGCCTCTGAACTACTTCGTCGTGTACAAAACCACAATGGACTTGCTGTGAGTTTAGAATAGTGAACACAGTACAGATTGAGATGCCTAAGATATGCTGACCCCAGATGGTATAATTAAAGTTTCTATAATGATATATATGAATATAGACTAAAAACTGAATTTTGGTGTGGTCAAGGTTTGAAAGGACAGAACTTTAAAAAATTTTATCACTTAGCAATAAAGTAGATATATTTAGGTATACCTGATTTCTATATATAAGAATTTTATTTGGGATACAGATAGTTCTTACAGCTTGAAGAACTATAAATAAAAGGAAATGCTCTCTTAACAAGGTAAGTTTCCTTAGGTACCTGTATTTCTGTTACTGGTTAATTTTTTTAAGAGGAAAATAACTTTAAATGAATTAACTCTAATAGGCTATACATGTTAGGACATATCACTGTGCTAAACTGAACATTTATACAAGAACATTTCATTCATTCATTTAGTCAGTCATTTTTGAATTAAGGTGAGGTCCTTTATGTTGCCCAGGCTGGCCTTGAACTTGCACCCAAGCAGTCCTCCAGCCTCAGCCTCCTGGGTAGCTGAGACCACAGGTATGTGCTACTGTTCCCAGCTCATTGACTTAATCCACAGGATTGGAACTTTCTTGTGCTTCTATTTGATGAGGCAAGAAGGGTTAGAAAAGGAGCTTGTTCAGATTCACATAGCTGCCAGGTTGAAAGTGTTGCAGTACAAACTGTAGTTTCCCCATCCAGTGCTATGTATGAATCTCTGTTCTCTAATTTTATGATTCCTGCTTCTTACTGAACGGGTTCTTAAGAACCCTTTATAAGAATGTGAATGACATCAAAATGAGGAGAGTTAGATACAGTTATATTTAGTAATATTTTGACGGATTTGCAGACATGGGAAGGAAAGGAAGGTGGTAGAGAGTATTGGCGTAACTATGGATCTACCTGTAGATTAGCAATGGAAAAATAACCCCAAGAACGGTCTTCAAACCCAGGCGTGGTGGTGTAGGCCTGTGATCCCAGCATTGGGAGGCAGAGGCAGACAGATCTCTGAGCACAATATCTACGAAGCAAATTCAGGCCAGCCAGAGCCACAGCTGCAACTTCCTGACTCAAAAAAGGAAAAAAGAAGAAAAAAGATCTTCAAGCTGGGTTCATTCAGTAGGAAGAGTAAAGACAAAGTGAGTCTACAAGCTGGATTTGAATGCACATCTTGAAAAAGATATGTCCTCTTTCTTGACTTCATGAATATTTTTCTTTGTAACTGAGAGTCACAGTTCTTTTCAGTACCTAAAAAAAGGGAAGCAGAGATTAAGGTTAATTTAAAAAAGACCCCTCCCCCCAAAGTATGTTTTTCTGTATAGGGGAAAATGGAAACTAACAAGATTGTCTCAATAAAGTTAAAACCAATAGGACTTTTATTTTGAAGAATCTAAAATATTTCAGTTTTTGTCCTCATGTCAGTTGTGGATTAGGACATTTAATTGGAGTTGTCTATGTTGTATTATTACAATAATCCATATATTGTAATGAAGCTGTTGTCAGGCGTGTAACTAGTAGTACTGAAGATTACAGCTTATTCAATCCAAAAGCCTTAGAGGAAACTGTACTTGTTTTGAAAGCAAATATGTTACTAATAGTGAATATTGATTAGTTGTTTGCAGGTGGTTATTAGCATTGTCAGAAATACAGCTTGAATTAATTATGTCCTGATAGATGTTAATAATTGTTAGAGCGAATGCCCTGCTAGTAATTATTTTTAATGACTGCTGCATCATTAAGAAAGGTTAACTTGTTTTATATAAATCTCCCATAGTGACTCAGCTACTACCTCATTAACTTTGTTCAAAGACTCTGTAAACCAAATACTTTGTATACCGTGCATGGAAGAAATCGTTTGTTTCACGAGATTGGCTCATTTAGTCATAGAGTTGACCCTAGCTTAATTACCAAGGGGGGTTGTGAATAGGCTGCTAAGCATTTTCTGCCAATTAAAATGCTGAAACAGTGTAGAAAACTGCCATCCTGCACATGCTTTGCACCAAGTTAATTAGAAAGTTTCCACAGATGAGCGCTTCTTTTTAAAAGAATGCATTTTCTCTTGGTAATGAGAAAGAGAGTTGGTGAATAACTAAGCTTGAAGACCTTTAACGTTTTAAGTGACCTAATTTGCAGAACAAGTGAAGCTTGTTTTAGACATTTAGCTCTTTTTATTGCATACGGTATCTTGAGTACAAATAAAGAAAACATTCGCTAGTTGTATTTAATAGTTTGTATATTGCTAGTTTGGTATTAGTTTTTTAAAAGACAGCTTTCTGTATTTTTGCTTTGTTTTATACCAAATAATTTTGTGATTGGAAAAACACAACACTTTGATTAGAAATTTAAAAAAAAATTATCTGCATTGCTTTTTTCTCCCTGCATTTAGGAAATTAGGAGCTTATGTGAGCTAAAAATAAATAAGCAGCCTGGGGAGGTTTCTGAATACAGTAAATCCAAAACAGCTTCATACTTCTGGATCCAAAGATTGCTACCTTCCTTGAAGGAAATTAAGAAGTTGCTAGAAGAATGGACGCTCACATTTGTAGTGCTAGAGAGCTGAAATGATTTTTTAGAAAATTAAAAGTAAATAATTGAGAATGAGAGTATTACAGAAATATGTGCGGAAGAGTTGGGGCTGTCTCCACTAACGCAACCACTGTCATCTGTAGACGGTATCAGGAGGCTTTCCAACTTGTTTCCTTGTTGCTTAGGACCAGCAGGAGTGAGTGAAAATTAGTGTTAAATAGGAAATAATTAACTGCTTGTGTCTGTGTTTAGGTGGCCTTGGAGTAAGTATAAATACATTCTGATAATTTTAGGTAGTCACGTACGTTGTTGTCTCTACCTTTATCATAATCAGTCCAGATTTTGAAAGACTCTCATTTAAGTAGTTAGTATTCTTCCTACTTGCCTGCATAATTATA